GAGAAAGTGTAACGGTAAAGGATACCTATTTCAGTGGATATCTATCTATTTGTCCACTGAAATACAGGATTTTTTACATATTTCTTTTAGTTAGCTTCACAGTTTTACTTTGTCTTACACGGAAGGTATTTTTATGTTGGTTCACAGCAAAAGTACGGACAAATAGTGAAAAATATTTAAACGTGCATATGCGCACGATACCAATCTATTGATAACCAAGGCCGAGGATCGTTATTTGCCTTCACGTTTTGTTCTTTACGTACCGTGAACGGAAAAGTAGGTGTACCATGATCGTGTAAGTACGATATAATATAAAATATGATTTTACTAGAGTATTAATAGTCACATAAGTTCCCTATGCCATTTTTTTATGTTTATAAGCAACTTGGTTGTCGAGATTTTATCAATTCCACTTGAACGAATGTCTGCGAAACACTGCAAGCTAGCGCTTGTCGGAGAACAGATTTTGTATTACGACTCTGTACATTTGGTCCAACGAAATATAAATAAACATATGTGCAAGCCAGCATACGTTCATCCGTAGTATTGATGATTCATTGCAATACATGATTTAATCATTTATGCTACCTTTGATGCATGCTCCGCATTTATTGTATAAAAAAGTAGCATAAAGTGCAGAGTTGCAAAACCATGACTATTCAATATGTTATTGTGAATTGAGAAAATTAGAATATATATTTTACTCTGAACACAGACTGTACATGAATGCGTTTCTTCTTTATATAAATAAACAATGTTATCTGTCAGCTGGGAAATAATATCCAGTGCTTAAATGCAAAACCGTTATCATGATTTTATGTTATTTACGATAAATTCGTACGCGTAGCATGTTAATGTCACATAAAATTGCAGAGAAATATATGACATCTATCACGAATTATGAATCTATATTGGACAATAATAACAGGGAATGACCGTAATGTCGTAATATATTTTCGTGCCGTCCGGAAAATCTGTGACTTGTATTTGTGTATTTATTTGAATGTTTAACATATTTCGTGATCAATGGACCGGCGCATGCGACCGAAACGCGTACCATTTGGCTTTTGTTCTCTCGCGGGAGGTGGCGAAACACTTTTACCTCGAGTTATCGAATCACACACTTCGAGGAACACACATGCCTCGACTTTGCCAGACATTAACGGGAGCGAAATTCGCTTGAATTTACAAAGGAAAGTCTGTCGAGAAACGTTTCTTTGATTCAGTTGTAATTTCTTCCTAAATTTTACTCCTTTTGTCACGCTCGGTATTCGCATTGCTCATGTAAAATGAAGACATTTGTCGCGTAACGTCTACAACTACAAAGGAAAGCGTCGTAATTCTTTGTCTTAATATCTTGAGATAATCGGTGCAAATCGGAGAAACTACTTTGTCCGTGAATTCACTGCAGGAATTTAATCACGTCGCGTGCGTGATCAAACGGAGACTAATAATGGACCAGAATCAAGTAGAAGAAGAATGTTATTAAGTTGCTTTGGGGCTGAATAAATTTGCAAATAGTACATATAATATTTATTAATAAAACTGTATTATTTAGTCCTGACAATTCGTAAAATTACAATATATAACAAATTAGATAACACGAATCGAATTTTCAGTACATTTTTATGCTAAATGTGTATCTGTTTTCACACATTTACAGCACAAACAAAAGGATATTACATAATATCAAGACTACTACATTTAAATAGTGTTAGATAACGATGATAATTCGGATGGTACAAGTCTAGCTTTAGATTTTTACATAATAGACATGTTGAAATTAATTTTATTTTTTTCACAGATTTTACACACACACACATATTAATTTGTTTAATTACATCTGTTTAGTACCAATATCTTTACTTAGGAGACTTATGTGACATATTAATTTTTTAAATTAAATCTCTTTATAGTTCTAATATTTTTACTTACAATTATGGGATTTATGTGAATAGAGATTGGCAACATTCCACTCACAGGCATGAGTTAATTAAAGGGAACAGTTATTTTACCAAATACTCAACAATGAAAAATTTAATTAACAATGCAAACAAACGCAAGATAACAATTCAAAGGGCAATTATACGTATATAAACAATATTTTTTAAAATATATAGTATAATGCCAAAACTATAATTTCTTTTAATTACTTTAACAACATATCTAAAAATATATTTAAAACATTTTTATTTTATTAATGTTGAAAATGTTTTTGTAAAAATTCTACTTTCTTTATATTTACGCGTATCTCTGATCTCATCGGCTCTGCAAATTTCGAAAGTCACCAGCAGTATTTTCAAATTTATCGCAAATTTAAGTTTATTTTCAATCTCTGAAATTACGCTGAAAAATATTAACGCAATAAATATCTGACAATGCTTTTTTTTTTAAACAAACAACGTCATTTCAGATGTTTCCAATAGTACATCTGAAGACGTGAACTGATGAGAATAAACGAATTGTGTGAACGAGATAGCGAGAAAGTGTAAGCGTCAGTGAATATGATAAGCTGTCTGAAAGATGTGTCGAATGAATCTGTCAAGGTACAACGGAGCGCGCAAGGCAATGAGTTGAAATATGTTTATTGCGCAAGCACGTTTTACCAAATAACAATGGAATACTGCATGCCTAGAAATACTCTAGCTCTATACTCTAGGTATTTTAAATTAGATTATTAGCGTAAAAGCAAAATGTCTATGTTTATATAATGTAACAAATTCTCGAAATATATGAACGCTATTAAACAAACACCTGAAGTTTAGTAGATAATTAACAACGCCAAGTAGTAATAAAACATAGAAATTAAACGTGAAATACGAGTCATAATTACATTGCAGTCATAATTAAAGAAATTTTATCTTGCGTGTTAATAAAATGTAAATTTTCCTCTCTTTATTCTTCTATCTACTTTATCTATTCCGTTTAAAAATCAAACTTTATTAGGAATATGTTGACTTATTATTATCTGTCAATATCATTTTTAATTAAATAAGATTGATCGGTTTTCTCTTTCGATATTTTTGGTATTTATAATATTTTCTGCAAACATTTAAAATTAGGAAAACAATCGCCCAACAAAGCACCTATGCTATATCTATGCTAAATATCTGATTATGACTTATGACTATCAGAATACGTCGCGTATTGACATCTCTCGCGAGACTTTTTAAACTATTCAGAAAAGCTAAATTGTATACATATAACACATTGCGTTTTCGGTTAGTTTAGCTTGCATAGGTACATACGGTTTGTTAATTGCGTTCTCGTTAATTCTAATGTTTGGTCATACAGTTTTCTGTGCACTCACTATCTACTCGCGATCAAGCATTTGAATAAACTTTGTTAGCGTTTTAAATAAAAAAAAATTGTATAATAGCACCTCTTTATTCCGAGTAACTTCTCCAGGCAAAATTTTTCGCAAATTAATTTATCCATTGAATTTGTTTTCAATTGCCTCCATTACAAATTTTGTAACATGGATAGAATTACAGATTTCTGTAATATTTTCAACATTATCTAAGTATGGTATATTCTCAACCCTACGTTATTCACGTGGGGTGTAAAATGTACTTCAGCTTCAGAAATTATTCACTCATACTTGACCGGAAATAAATGTTGTTTTTTAAATAACTCCTATACGCAATCGTTTGTATTTTATATGAAGACACTTAAAGGGCGATTGAAAAGGTTTGTGAGTCTTTCGTTTATTTGTAATTAATTAATCATTTTTCCACCCCCTTCATTTAGTCGGATTGGATAAATTGAACAAAACTTTTGCAGGAAATCGTTTGTATTTTCTAGTTATGAAGTGTGATTTAAAAAGGTTTGTGAGTGATCCAGATAATTTTAATTAAATATTTATTAACTCGGAAGCTAGCCGAAATTTAGTTATTTCTGTCAAAAGAAGAGACAAAATTCCATAGTTCGATTATAGTTTCCCTTCTATCCCTTTCTAAAAAAGAGATGTTACCAGCGCAGATGTCGTTAATATCGAACAGTTGAGGCCTCTTTTGCGCGATGTCGATTGGTTTTCTCGAAGCGCGGCGTGCTCCACTTCTCTTTTAGATTCGTAGTAAATGAAGATTTGCAAGTTTACAGTGTGTACATTTGTATACACCAACTATTGAGGAAAAATGTCTAATCTTAGTAATTAGAATTTAAGTAACAACGATTTTTGTTCCGATACATTTT